CTATTCACTTAAAGAAAATAAAAACACTTTAAAATGATTTTCTTCTTATAAGTGTAAAAGCAAATCAAAAAGACAAAAAATAGAAATGAATATTTCACCAGGGTTACCCCTACAGCTATAAAATGTAAAAAAAACCCGAATGGAAGTCAATGGAAGGTCCCCACGGGGTTCAAGAACAAACGTGTGTGCGTGTATGTGTGCATACAAGTGTTTGTATCTTTCTCTAAATTTTTCCTAAATTACTGAAAAAATGTTGGACCTTTCAAAAAGTAATTATTAGATATACGTACATCTACAACTTATTGGATGCAACCCATAGTAGTAGCGGAGACTGATCCCCAACATGCTCTCTGAGCATTAACTAATCACTTGAGTGCTATATTTTTGCAATTAAGTATTGGGATTAACTTTGTGTGTTAGCAAAATATCTCATAAATCACTGGATAGATTTTAATGAAGTTATCAATGAATGTACATCTACTGTACAATTGATTCATTCTTAGAATTAACCCAGTTCAATATGGCTGCCACAGACAACTGACCTTAAAAACCACAACCTGCTGAGTTTTTGTTGTTTTGTTTTGTGTTTTCTTGAGTGGATATAAACACACTGTCAATCTTAGCATGGGACTCTTTCTCTGGAAAGGTTTTAATGGAACACAGAGAAAAGAATAAGTAACAAATAGCTTTGCTTTGAGCTCATTACGTTGAGGTGGTTATATCATTTCAATAAATCAATAAGTTATCTTTTTTAGATAGCAATTTGGGATTTTAAATATTTTTTATCTCATTTTCATTGTTCACTTAGACCAGGGTTCCCCAAACTTTTTCCTGTAAGGGCCACATAACTTTTCCCTTCTCTGGTGGGGGGCCTGAGTCAGTTTGTAACAGAAAAACTGTGACTATTGCAGGAGTGCCTAAATGTAAAAATTTATTGTTTTCCAGAAAGCACAATCAATTAATCCTCTCTGGGTTCTTCACAGTATGTATTCTGCTGAGCTAACAGTTCACTTTTTGAGCTTTGAGAGTTTGTTTGCTCGCATTTKGCCYTGCAAGCTATCATACTTGTCTTTGTGACGGGATTCATAGTGTCGCCACAGATTATATTCTTTGAATACCRCCACCGCCTCTTGACAGATGACCAAAAAAAATTAGTTTGTCCACTGCAGCTTAAATGTCCTGCATTCTGAATCAATTTTTCTCTTACATAATCTTTTCACCATTATTCCGCTCTCTCTTTGAGAGGGGCGGATTTAGGATGTTTTTCTGGGGGTTGCCAGATAGGAGCACAGACCGCAGAAGGGTGGAACAGAATGTCACGTTATATATGCGTTTATGTATGAAATAGTTACTAACTAATAATAGTTAATAATGAAAATAGTTCATAAYTAAGGAACATTTTATTGCAAAAGTCCAACTTTATAATCAAATATAAATACACATGTATGAAAAAAAAACTAAATGCTCTCTGGTATTGTTCTGGGGGCCGGACCAAATGGGGAGGTGGGCGGGATCCGGCCCGCGGGCCGTAGTTTGGGGACCACTGACTTAGACTGTTGCTTAAAAAGAGCTTATGACCTTTTTTGGTAAACTCAGTGCAAAATCTGAATATTTTGATCTTTGAAAAGAAAGTTTTCTTGGAACAACAATGAAGATCCTCAATGAATCCAGTTAGAACCATTTGTAGCTTTATTCTTTTAAAATGATGCTTCTATAACTGTGGCCTCTTCTTGGAAGATGGATTTCCAATCAGATGACGGTTTGTATTTCTTTTTCCTCCGTAGAGGCCACTTGTCTGGGATCTTGATTGTAAAATAAATAAATCATTAGACTTATAATTGCTTTCTTACTATTATTGCAGGAGATGTTGGAAAGATCTCAGATGATATCAGTTTAACTCTTGTTGAGAGCTGCAGTCATGATCATGGTAAACCAACTACTGTAAATAAGAAGGTTTTTTCATGTTGAAAGGTTCATGTCACGGCTTAATATTTTATTTCTTGTGTACTTTTCCAGATCTGCTCTCAGACACAAAGATGTACTGCCTTGTTCCCAATGACTCCTTCGCCTCCTTGCAGCCATCGACCTCCTTGTGTCCTTCAGAGTTATCCAGGGAGGCTGGAGATCTTTGCAGCTCTTCTGCATATCACTTCAGCCTGTCACACACATCCTGTGACACAGAGTTGACTGCTCATGCTTCCATGCAGTCTCAGACCTTTAAGAAGGAGCTCCGCTCTCGGGGCTTGCCTCGGACCTCTAGCTCAGCAGGCTCTGCTTTTCCAGACCCGTGTCTACCAGACTTTATTTTATATCCTCCACTCAGGAGAGGTGCCCTTGATCCTGTGTGCGAGCTAGAGGCTGCCAGACCCCACAGGCCGAGGGTCTGTGACAGAGAGCAGCTATACAATCAGTACCCAGTTGTACCATCTACCTCTGGAGAAGAATGTCACCGGCACAAAGAACAACGCAAAGCTTCTTGCTGCGCCTCCAGGGAAGCAGGTGAAGGTAGCTCAGGGCTTTACCAGGTGGACATGAGTAGTGGTGGGATAGGCTCTGCTGGAGGAGAAAAATCACAGGTAGGAGAGCAGAGTGTGGATAGCCTGAAGAGTTTGAGTACCCATAGTAGTGGCTCCACTGAGAGCTACTGCAGCGGCACAGACAGGGACACCAACAGCACCGTCAGCAGCTTTCGCAGTGAACAAACCAGTTCTACGCATGTAGAAAGCCTGCTCTCAGTTTCAGGGGACGAGCATGGACGGGACCGAGGAGAGACTCTACCTGGTCTTGCTGATGGCAGGGCTTCATGCCTCAGCAGTATCAGTTCTCATGGTCTCAGCAATGTTCCCTCAAGGGAGGCCAATAAAAACCCTCATGCCAATGAGCTGACTGCTAAACAAACAGCAGACACAACTTCTGCTGCAACCCAGGAGCTAGTAGAACCAGGGGCAAGCCTGGAACATCCTGGCATAAGGACCAGTGCTGATGGTTCGACGGGCATAGATGCCTCCGAGCAAGAGAAAGCTATAGATGATGGTCACACAAAACTTGATAACATTGTTCAGAGGACTTCCTCTCTGTCCGTTGGACGCAGTGGGCGTCGGCACTCTGGAAAGAAAAGAGCGAGCAGCTTTGATGCCAGTCGTCACAGAGACTTCCTGTCTGTGCGTGGGATGGCTAAGCCCGGTAGTGCCGTCTTCACTGCTGGAGGAGAGGATGACTCTAGTGATCAGAGTGAACTCAGCTGTGCCTCCAGCCTCCACTCCACCCACCATCTAAGTACAAACAGCTCATCCAGCACCACCCCCAGGTCCTGCCATTCACCAGAGGGTCACGTCAGGGGCCCGAAAGCTAAGCACTCTGCATCCAAAGCCCCCCCATTTTCTACAGGAAAAGGTGCATCTGTATCTGATACAGGAGCCCGAACCAGAGGGAAGCGCCGCACCTCCCGCCGAACACCCAGCACAGGTAGTGCCAAAACACATGCTAGAGTCTTGAGTCTGGATAGTGGCACCGCTGCTTGCCTTAATGATCCCAGCCGCTTAGGAGCACCATCCAGACATCGACCCCTCACCAACTCCAAGTCGGACCTGGAAGCCAAAGAAGGGGAAGTCTTGGATGCTGCATTTTTGTTAGGTCGGGCTTCGCAATTGGAATCTGTGACTCGCTCCAGAAACAGTCTACCTAACCAGACAGCTTTCACTGAATCTCACGATGCATCTGCTGCTTCTTTGCGGGGTAGGTACTATACATTAACATTTTCAAAGCAACCTCAGTGTTTTCTCGATTGGCCTGTGACCTGGAAGAGTAATGCTCCACTAGTACTTTCATTACTTTCAACATTTTAAATTTAACATTATACTCATTATTGACTTTAGAAGAAAAATGGGGTGGGGGGGGGTATGCTATAGAATCCTGTGGCACAGCATAAGCTTTTATCATTAATGGCTTCTTTTAAAGTGTTCATTACTTTTACTGTTACTGTTAAGTAGTTTTAAAACCAGTACTTTTACTTGAGTAAAAAGTTTAAGTTGATACTTCTACTTCCAAAGAAGTATTTTTAAGCCCTAGTATCTATACTTCTACTTAAGTAATAAATGGGAATACTTTTGACACCTCTGGCAATATTGCATCAGATTGCAAAGTGATGGTGAAGAGTCGGCTCTGAGATCCTTCTTGATTCCTCTGGTGATGAACAAACTAACAAATGAGGTCAGGCAGGTACTCCCTTGGACTATGATGTTTGAAGGGTGGCAACAAAAGTCAAAAACAAATTTTACAAGAGAATAGTGAGACCAGCGATGTATGGTTTGGAGACAGCAGCACTGACGAAACAATTGACAGAACTAGAAGTGTCAGCTAAAGATGAGGTTCTCCTTGGGAGTGACAAGGACGGATAAGATTAGGAATGAGATTATCAGAGGTACAACTGGGAAATAAAGTTAGAGAGGCCCGACTGAGATGATTTGGACATGTCCAAACGACACAGTGGGTATACTGGTAGGAAGATGTTAGAGATGTAGCTGTCAGCAACAGGGTTTGTGCAGGAGCTTAAAATGCTTTCACACTTTTCCAGCATCAAACAATAGCTCAAATTGACTTTGGTATAGCCATTTTTGGAGAAAATGTAGGTTATCTCTGGCAACCATCTTGAATAGTGTTAAGTTATTCAGTTGCAGATGTACATCAAATAATTACTTTCAGAGACTTTCATTAAAATGTTTTCAGTGGTTCACAAACTATTTACAGGGTTAATTTCAACAGTGGTTGAAGCAAAGCACAGGGTGTTACGGTCAGAGTGTGTTTTGGGGACGTTATGTTTGGTCTCTGTAAAATTGGATGAGGTGTAGCTATTTTTTGTTTTTAGGTTCAGTTGGCTGTGTGCAGTGCACCATTTTAAATTGTGTTTACCATAAAAGTTTGGCAGTAGTACATATCGTTTCTTAACATCCGCTCAAATTTGTCAGAGAAAAGAGACATGCTCATTGACCAATGATACTTCCCACCTTGACAGCACCAGGAAGTGAAGAGACGGTTATTTTTCGTCGGGAACGTAGCACATTTCGTCGGCAGGCTGTGCGGCGGCGGCACAACGCAGGAAGTAACCCCACCCCTCCGACCTCGCTCATTGGCTCCCCTCTCAGGTATGGTATGGGCATGTCACTGTATGTTTGAATTTTTTAATGTTCATGTCCATCAAACAAACACCATCTTTGTCCTGACTTGTGCCTTCACTAACACGTAATGTGTTTGGTTGTGTTTGCCTTAGACTCATTTTCTTCCTCCTGCTGTCCCTTTTATGAAAACACATATACAGAACCTGACTTTTAATCAGGTCCCTGTCATATACTGTATATACAGCGGGTAAAATAAGTATTGAACACGTCACCATTTTTCTCAGTAAATATATTACTAGAGGTGCTAATG